CTGCAATAATCTCAAGTTTTAAGGAGACACTGACAATAGGAAAACATAACCAGAAACAAATATAAAACTTTTATGAAATTATAGAAATGTCAGTAAGATTAAATGCCCGGTATATTTCTGGGTGGGGGGACAAGAACACTGCTTTAAAGGGAGGCTTTAGTTACAGTCAGAGCAGAAATAAGCATTATTATGGAAGCAAAAACAAACCAGCTTTCTTTGAATAACATAATAAGAAATGATTGAAAAACAGAATAGTTCTGTTTCTGTTTTTTTAATCCATCTACTCTGAAAGATTACATTCAACCTGGAAAACTAGGACATGGTAAGAGAACTTAAAACTCTAACTTGTGAGACTTTTACTTAAGGGAACACTTGATACAGTCATATCACATCCCAGATACCTAACCTGGTGATATTACTCGATCAACATTAACACTTCCCTAGAAATCACTGACAACTACAGAGGTCTTAGAAGACTGAAATGGACAAATGCCCAGATTTCTTTAGAAAGAAAAAGTTAGTATCTTTTATTAACTGGTCAAGTGAATGTGGATTGTGAGAGAGAAAAAAAATTTTCTTGAAGATTTTATTTACTTGACAGAGAGAGAACAAGTAGGGGGAGCGGCAGGCAGAGGGAGAAGGAGAGGGAGAAGCAGGCTCCCCATTGAGAAGAGAGCCCGAGGCGGGACTCAATCCCAGGACCCTGAGATCATGACCTGAGCCGAAGGCAGATGCTTAAACGACTGAGCCACCCAGGCATCCCAGGATTGTGAGAAAATTTTAAACACATAAATTAAGGTATAAGTAGAAAGAAAAGCATTGATCATTAGAAGATGGTAAATTTCATAAAACAGGCATTCTATGTTAACTAAATTTCTTCCTCTTTACTAAACAGATAACTAATAAATTGAGGAATTATTACAGATGTAATATACCAATAATTGAGCAATGTACTTGAGGTCTGCCTTTACTTTTTTTAATAATTTTTTTTTTTTTTAATTGACAGAGAGAAAGCAAGCATGCAAGCAGGGGAAAAGGGTGAAAGAAAGATAAAATCTCAAGCAGACTCCATGCCCAGTGCAGACCCTGGCACAGGGCTGGATCTCACGACCCTGAGATCATGACCTGAGTCGAAACCAAAAGTCAGATGCTTAACTAAGACACCCAGGTGCCCCTGCCTTTACTTCTTGAGAGAAAATTTGAAAATATGAACTGTATCAGGCACAATTAATCATGCAGCCACAAATGCAATTCAGAGACTTCATGAACCTGAATGGGAAAAAAGTTACATTTTTATTTTCATTAACTACAGCTGACAGTGAGTATTTCCTTCTATTATAAATGTAGGCAACAAACTTTGTTACTTATACAAATTGTGTATCATTTATATTCCTTAACATAATTGAACATATCTTGAAGTTTCATTCATACCTTCAAATTTACGGTAGTTTCTTGACCTACCGTTAATTCCTGTTATTTTACTCCATAAAGAAAGAAAAGCAGGTACATTACTACTAACACAAATTTGAGATTCTTAAAAAATATTTTGAAACTATGTTCTATTGAATTTATTCTTTGTAATTCTATGCAGTCTATGTACTTAAAATCATAATTTTGGTAAGAGATTCCAGGGCTTCCAACTGTCAAAGCTGTCCATGAGATGAAGAAGGTTATAAGGACCCCTGAGAAGTCAACTGATATTAAATGGTTTTAACCAGAAAATGATACCCTTTTATCCAAGGCTTCAAAGACTCAAACACAAAAAAATGAAAAGTGAGTCAATCTAACAAGATGAATTTTAACAAAGATAAAGTCTTGTACTTAAACTAAAACATTTAACTAAATTTCCAAATCCTGGTAATATGAGTAAGTAGCAAGACCTATCCTTCCACTAAAAGCAACCAAAAATGTTGGATATAAAATAAAAAAGCAACAAAAAACTTACTAAGAAACAATAAGGAGGCAAGAGACTAAGGATTTATCAACTCAAACACCAAACTGAAAGAGTAAGCTAACAGATTTAAATAAGGCCCAGAAAAATGTTATCCTGAGATCATTTTTTGCACCTGGTAAACTTAATTCCTTTTCTTAGCCTTACAGAGCACAGGGAACAGAAGCCAAAGGTGAGGAGTCCAGCAAGGACTCTTCTCACAAATCTAGAATCTCAAAAGATACACACTCAAGACAAGAGTAGTGCAGAAGTTAAACATTCCTCTAAAATCTACTCACAAGGAATGGAAAGAAAGGCTCTAAGAAAAACTGGGAAAAGGGGGTAGTACCCCTCTGATTGTAACCACAATAGAGTCATCATGTGAGTATACAGCACAACATCTCCTTGGCATTCCAAAATATCTCAAGTACTGTCCACCAACATACCCAATACAACTGGGAGAAGAAAATAAAATTCTTACTGGAATGAAACTCCACTTAACCTAGACTCCAGAGAATTTTCCCAAATAATTTTCCAAGAAAAATGAATAGCACACAATCAAAAATCCCTAAGTATATAAAAACAAAGATTACCATGAATAAGAATCAGCCAGAACAAAATAGAGGAGGAAGAAAAACAAAGAAGTCTAATGGAACTATCTGAATAGAGAATTATCTGGTGAAAAAGAATATAAAATACACTTACACTGTCTGAAGAAATAAAGACAAGTTTAAAGAACTATAAAGAACGAGATTTTAATTTATAACAAAACAATTCTGAAAATGAAAAATATAATCACTAAATTTTAACTGAAAGATTTAATAGCATATTAGACACAGTTTAAGAGGATCTCAGTAATTCAGAAGATAAAAGAAATTACCTGGCATGTAACAGAGGGGGAAAAAAAAAAAAGCAAAGAAAACAGGATATAGAAGAATAAAAGGTAGAGTAAGGAAGGCTAAAATACATTAATCCAGAGTTCTAGAAGAAAAGATTTAAGAGAAGTGTATGAAGAGTTAATGGGTAAAAATCGAGATGAATTTTCTAAGATTCATTCAACCTACCAATCCTCAGAATGGTCCACAGCTGGATATATTACACTGAAACTACAGGACAGAAAAGATAAGACAATCTTGGGGTGCCTGGTGGCTCAGTCAGTTAAGCATCTGCCTTCGGCTCAGGTCATGATCCCAGGGTCCTGGGATCGAGCCCCACATTGGGCTCCCTGCTTGGCGGGAAGCCTGCTTCTCCCTCTCCCACTCCCCCTGCTTGTGTTCCCTCTCTCACTGTGTCTCTGCCAAATAAATAAATAAAATATATTTTTAAAAAATTTTAGAAAAAGAAATTTGTGAAAAAAAATTCCCTCTCTTCCTCTCCCTTTGCCCCTCCCCCACCCAGCTGCAGCACATGCACAAGTTCTCTCTCAATCTAAAAACAAAAAACAAAAAAACAGTGTAATATGTAGAACTGGCTAATCATGTTGTTTACCTACCACTAACATTGTAAACCAACTATACTTGAATAAAAAAAAAGGTAAAAAAAAGAAATAACAATAGCACATAAATGATGAGGATGGTAAATGGGAGTTCAACTGCTCTCAAGTCCTTGTACTGACTGAGGGTAAAAATTTTTACTAAATTTCTATCTTGAGAAAAACATGTGTTGTGATTACTAGAGTAAAAAAAGAACATTTAAGTTTCAAATGGTATAGTGAGGGGGTGGAGGGAAACAAAGTAATGCTAAAATTTATCTAAAAAAAGAAAAAAAGTGTGCAAATATAGAAAAATATCCCACTACATGTTGCTATGACACATCTAAAAGTAAAGATAAAGGGTAAAATAAAAAAAAAAAAGCAAATTCGAACCAAGAAAAAACTATAATATCCATACTATTACCAGAAAAAATAAATGAATAAAAATATTGGGAAAAAAATTAAGACATTACTAAAAATACAGTCAATTTCATAAAAAGAAAAGATCTGGTTTATTGGAGAAAAAATTTTTATTATGCATGTACCTACTGACAGCAAATTTATTTAAAAAATTACAGATCTAAAAGAAATAGACAAATGCACATTCACAGTGACATTATTTTTCATTTATTTCTCTGAAGAACTACTGGAATATGGTGACAGAAGAAAAAATCCAATAAGGATACAGAAGATTTGAAGTACGTAATAAATATGGCCTAAAAATATGTATAGGGAAACATACATAAAACATTTTTTTAAATTACCATATACTGAGCCAGAAAGCAAGTATCAAGAAATTGGAAGGCATTAAAATCCTACAGATCTGGGGTGCCTGGTTGGCTCAGTCATTAAGCATCTGCCTTCAGCTCAGGTCATGATCCCAGGGTCCTGGGATCGAGCCCCACATCGGGCTCCCTGCTCGGCGGGAAGCCTGCTTCTTCCTCTCCCACTCCCCCTGCTTGTGTTCCCTCTCTTGCTGTCTCTCTGTCAAATAAATAAAATCTTTAAAAAATAAAATAAAATAAAATCCTACAGATCACCTTTATGTGATCTTTTATATAAATATATATTTAATATATGATATAAATATATATATATTTAAAATATATTTTAAAAATGGAATCTTTAATTTAAAATCTTCCACAAAGAAATCTCCAAGTCCATATGGTTTTACTGTTCAATTAGGTAAAATACTGAAAGAAAAAACACCCAATCTTATAAAAATTCTACAAAAGAATAAAAAAGGATGGCATTTTTATTTTCTAAGGCCAATATATTAAAATCTGAAGTTCATTACGTGAAAGATAAATGACAGGTTCATTCTGAACAGAATTCTGTTCATTCATGAACAGAATTCCAAAAATCCTAACAAAATATGCAATTAATTTGAATGTGATAATAGGTTTGTCCTTCCTGGATGTAAGAAATGATTATTGTTATACCTGAATTTTAAATGAAACTACCAATTAGTTTCAACTAAACCATATCTAGTCTAGAAGCATAAATTTAAAGTATACCTTACTAATATCAGTTTAACATGACTAAAAGTTTAGTTTAGGATACAATTCTTAATATACCAACATTAATACTAGCATTTACCTGTTGCTGTCTTGTCACGAAATTCTTCAAGTTTTGTCAAAGTCGCTGAAGTGAGCTGTGCTAGGTTTACCTCTTTTGGAGGTCTGAAGAATTCCACTATACTATTCACTGTTCTCTGTTAAAATAAGTACCATTAACATTAGGCACAAACTCAAAGCAAATTGAAATATATTAAAACTTAGTGATTAAAAAAATGCTTACTGCATCATATATCATTTCTAAAGGTTCAGCTTCTATGATACATCTTTGAGCAACAGTTTCATCTAATGGATTTATCTCAAATATAATTTGGAAGAGTGACGTAGCATCATCCAATGAAGAAAGGAGGCGGGGTTTTGTTGAATTATCTGGTAAGCCAGTAACATGAAATGAATCAATTTTGGTTTCAAATCTACATGAAAAAAGATAGTACAAAAATTAGCTATCAATCCAATTTTACATTTTACAATATTTTTCAAACTGAAAATAAAGTAAAAATTAATGACAACAATTTCAATTTGCATTTCTTCCTATTCCATTCCATTCACGTCAAAGAAAATATACAACTATTCGATCTGAACTGGCATAGATTAACTCACAAACAACCCTATTCACATGATCTCTAAATTAAAAAAAGCTATGAAGAGAGTCATAGATTCCTAGAGCAGAGGCTCACAAAAGAAAACTACCAAGTCCACCAGTGCCAAGGTTGGAAAACCTGAACTGTTTCATTCTCCTGAACTGCTGGAGATTCAAAGTGGACAACTCTAGGGGACCCAGTCATAGGGGAGACCCCGTAATATTTTGACATATACCTCCAGGAACTGGACCAGGTTCCCACAATAAATATTGGAGGAAAAAAAACCCTCAAGCTCCAGGCAAGGAAAGGAACCATTTAAAAATAAAGGAACCATTTAAAAATATAACACAGCGGGCGCCTGGGTGGCTCAGATGGTTAAGCGTCTGCCTTCAGCTCAGGTCATGATCCCAGGGTCCTGGAATCAAGTCCCGCATCGGGCTCCTTGCTCCTTGGGAGCCTGCTTCTCTCTCTCTCTCCCCCTCTCTCTCTCTTGAATAAATAAATAAAAATCTTTAAAAATATATATATATAACACAGCACTATGTTCTTAAAAAAGCATGCTCCTTGGAGAACTAGTTAACTAGAGCCTAACCTAATTAAGTATTATCAGAGCCAAAATACCTAGAGAAGGGAAATACCCAACTTCAGTCAGGTCTACTATCCCATATGGAAGAAGGGAAACACCCAATATCCCCAACTCTAGCTATTCTGTACCCCTAAGGCAGGGAGAGGGGGAATACTGAGAAACTTCTTAAGTCCACAGAGCAGAAGCATGGGATCATTAAAAGACTGAGAGCTAATCACAGCACTAGAGAACTCTTCCCTTTCCTGCACAATTAAAAACCAAATCACCACAGGCTTATTTACAGTATTTTTTTTCATCCAGTACATCACATCTGGCTATCAAGAAAAAAATAGCATGGCATACCAAAAGGCAAACAGAACAACTTGAAGTGACAAAATTATTTAAAAATAACAATTAATATGCTAAGAGGTATAATGGATTAAGTAAAAAACATGCAAGAACAGATGAACAATGTGAGCAGAGAGATGGAAATCCTAAGAACGAACCAAAAATAAATACTGAAGATCAGAAACACTGTAACAAGAATGCCTTTAATGGGCTTATTAGGATACAGACACCATTGAGGAAATTACTCCCTGAGCTGGAGAATATACTAGTAGAGTCATAAAAATACATAAAGCAGAGAACAAAGACTAAAATAACAGAATAATCAAGTGCTGTGGTACAACTACAAGAAGTGTACCACATGCATAACAGGAATAACAGAATAAAAGAAAAGCACAGAAGATTTTAAACAAGCATGACTGACAATTTCCCCAAATTAATGTCAGACACTAAGCCATGGATCCAGAAAGGTCAGAGCACATAAGCAGAATAAATGCAAACAATCAAAAAACTACACCTAGGCATATTTTTATAATAAAAAAATATAAAGAAATATAAAGAAAAAATCTTGAAAGAAACCAAAGGAAAAAACCACCTTACACAGAGAGGAGCAGGGATAAGGATTACATCTGCCTTCTCAGAAGCCATGGAAGCAAGAAAAGAGTGTAGTGAAAATTTTAAAGAGAAAAGAAAAAAATCAACCTAGAATTCTGTACCCTATGAAATTCTCCTTCACAAGTTAAAACAAAATACTTTCTAAGACAAACAAAAAATTGGGGAAAATTATTATAACTAGACCTGTCTTTTGAGAAATATTAAAAGAAGTTATTTAGAGAAAAAGAAATACTATAAGGTAGAAATTCAGAACTACATAAAGGAAGAGCAATGAAGGAAAAAAATGTAAAGGTAAAATGAACACTTTTACTTATTTTATTAATCAAATTAGTATGTTCAAAATAATAGTAACATGTTTGGTTATATATGCTTACATACATATCTTATGTATATTTTATGCTTATGTATGTTCATATATAAGTGAAATGAATAGCAGCAAGACACAAGGGACTAGAAAAAGGACTAAGGATTTTCTTTTTTTAATCATCAAGTACTCCCACTACTCATGAAATACTACACTGTTATTTGAAAGAAGACTTGAAAAAAAAAAAGCTATAACTGATATGGTAACAAAGGAGAGAAAACAAAACTATATGAGACACCAATTAAACTGGGGTGCCAGGGTGGCTCAGTCAGTTAAGCGTGTGACTCTTTTAACAGCTCAGGTCTTGATCTCAGGGTTGTGAGTTCAAGCCCCATGCTGGACTCCATGTTGGGTGTGGAGCCTACTTTAAAAAAAAAAAAAGATACTCAAACCACAAAAGGCAGGGGGGGGAAAAACCCCACAAAAGGCAGAAAGGCAAGAAAGACAGAAACAGGAACAAAGAACAAGAGCAACAAATAGAAAACAGCAAAGATTATGGTAGATGTTCAAAAAACAAGAGCAACAAATAGAAAACAGCAAAGATTATGGTAGATGTTAAGAGAATGAAAAGACAAGTCACAGTCTATGAAAAAATATTACAAAAGACACATCTGATAAAAGAGTGTTACCCAAAATATACCAAGAACTCTTAAAATTCAACGAGAAGGAAACAAACAGTTTTAAAAAAAATGGGCCAAAACCTTAATAGACACCGCATCAAAGAAGACCTATAGATGGCAAGTAAGTAGACGAAAAAATGCTCTACATCATAGGTCATTGAAGAAATGCAAATTAGGGGCTCCTGGGTGGCTCAGTCAGTTAAGCATCTGCCTTCAGCTCAGGTTATGATCCTGGAGTCCCAGGATAGAGCCCCGCATTAGGCTCCCTGCTCAGCGGGGAGTCTGCTTCTTCCTCTACCCCCACCCTGCTCTCGTGCTCTCTCTCACACTCTTTCTCAAATAAATAAAATCTTAAATTAAAAAAAAAAAGAAACGCAAATTAAAACAACAAAGATTCCACTACACATCTATCAGATGTGGTCAAAATCTAAAATACTGACAAGGCCAAATAAAGGCAAGGATGTGGAGC